ACTGTTGATTGATGGAGGAGTGCCGTGGACAGTGACGCTAAACTGCATCCGCTCACTTTCAGACCAGATGAACTTTCTGTGATATTTACTTATGTGAAGCCCAAATTACAACTTTCACACTATAGATTTGGGATCCCCGAGGAAATCGCACACGTCCCGACTGACAGAACAGAATCAACAGAATCATCAATCGTTAGACCACAAGTGGTCTATTGAGAACGACTTCCAACTTAACGTCTCCAAATGCAAGGTGACTCCGTTACGCCACCTAGGGCGGTTTACTTATTTCCTTGGAAACGAATTACTGCCTCATGCATCAACAGAGAAGGACTTGGGTGTTATAGTCCACGAAGATCCGAACTGTTCTATTAACTGTACCAGGGCGTCATTAACAGCACTCAAACATGTCGGTCAACTCGAACTTATTTTCGGTCATTTTGAACCATCTTTACTCTCACGGCTGCTGTCAGCATACATCCGGCCGCATATTGAGTACGCAATCCAAACTTGGAATCCATGGTTACAACATGATCATGAGATTTTAGAGCGTCCATGAAGGCTGGCCACGAAGATGGTCAAAGGACTGTATTATGATTCAAACATGGGGAAAATTTAGTCATTGGGTCTATACTGTGCTCACTATCGTCGGGTTCGAGAAGACTTAATTTTAGTGTATCAAATATTACACAACACAAAACACCCTTGTCGCCGACTTTTGACGTTGTCATCAAACGTTCATCTACGGGGACATACATCCAAGTTACTACTCCAAAAATCTCGACTGGACTGTAGACGTCATTCCTTTGCCGTCAGAGTGTGTACTGCCTGGAATTCTTTACCATCTTAAAACGTTTGTGCCAAGACGATTGATTCTTTCAAGGTAAAACTTGACGAATCATTAACACACATTGCATTCCAACATCCATGAGTACACATATCATCATAACATCATATGGAATTTTGTTCATCATTGTTACAATTCAACTCGTGTAAACACCCAATGAGACAAGGAAAGCATCTGCTTGTTAGGAATGCCCACAATGAAAATTTGACTTTGACCATCAAACCATGAATGTAACTCAAAGCTTAATTCTAAGGTTAGGACTACCATGTGGGCCTTAATTAGAAACTGGCTTTCCCAAATTCAAGGCAGTAGGGTTGATTTCCAGTGAT